CTCTCTCTGTACCCTCGCAATGCCAAGTTCTGTGTAGCAAGGAATTTTATGCAGTGGAGGACTCTCGTCAAAATTTCACGCCACTTGTGCTTTTCTTTCACCATCTGTGATTGTAGGTCGGCATCAATTACTCCTGCGGTGCCTATTAAATTTCTTTCCGTTTCTTTCCACTGTGTGAAACACATTCGGTGATTCCTTGCATTTTCGTGAAGGGTAATCCTCTCGGGTGCCTTCCACTTGGTAAATCCCCCTTCTTGCTCTAAAGATGATAGGTGATCCGAGCGGGAAAAAGGAAGCAACAAATGCAAAATGCTGCCTTTTTGGAAGGAGAGTAGGCTAGCCACGAGCGGGTCACTTCTTCACCACGATCATCGCCTAACTTCTTCTTAAACCAACCCTTGGTCATTGAGCGGTTCTTTGTTGGCAAGAAAGGTTCTTCCCCATTTTGGAAATACTTGGCACCGAGCTTAATTACTTCCGTTCGCAGAGCGTCAGACACAACAGCTTTTCCAGTACCCGCGTCAAATTTTAGGAGCCCTATGGTCATGGTTCTGAACGAGCTCTGAAACAATGGGTTGAGGCTGCTTTATGCAATCCAGTTCGCTTGGCTTCGTAGCTTCAGGTTCAACCTGCCGAAGCGCAATCCCACTTTCGTTGTCCTGCTCCTCTATTGTAATATCCCCGGCGTTGCCTGTGTTTAATCCACTGTGTTTAGATGTTTCGCGAACCACTCCTTCGTGAGGTTGTGTGGACATTAATGAAGTGGCGGGGGATGGAGCTGCCTCCAGATAACATGGTGAAGTTCCAGGTCTTCCAAAGACAGGCGCGAAGAACTTTTTTGACCTCTCAGCTTCCTGCGCCTGCAGCTTTCTCCTCTTCCGTCCTTCAGTTCCACTCTCTTTTCTTTTTTTCGTCGCCCGGTCCATCATGGCTTTGCTTGCCTGAAAAAAAATCCTTAATTCGTGCCTTTAGCATTAGTTCGAGGGGAGCAATAGTTCACAGTATATCATAAATCCAATAAGTCCAATTCATGATGCCACCTCGCAATCGGCCACAAGCAGCAAGAAGATGGCCTAAACCGTATACGGATCGCCAAAGAGTTGTAAGCGTGCAGCAGCGCGAGTGGAAATGCGAAACACTGGCCTCTGCGTACTTCCGACGCCGTAAATCGCTTCTTCACATCTCGCACACGTTTTTATGTTCCACCCTATTAACAACCCCGCAACTTTCTAGCAGCCAGTAATGCGACTGTTACAACGTCAAAGTTCGCGTCAACAATGAGATAACTATCAGACTCACCTTGCGCAGTTGCCAAAACTCAGTTGGCCCACTTTCTTCGGCTAAATCCAATGGCGTCCGCACGGCGAGGCTTCACGGACAGGTCGTAAACGCCGAAGCGTGTTGACATCCATAAAACACGTAAGAATTTGTAAAGGAGGTAATCCTTGTCGGTTGATTGATGAGGCAACGGAACCAACGCTGGAACCAACATTATTAAACCACTCCGTTGGGAAACTGCCATAGAGACTGCCTTTGATAAGTGGCCCCGATTTGTCCTCGAACACTGAGCTAATGACGAACACAACGCCACCATTTCTCCCGCAGCAGCCGCTCGAGGAACCGTAAGTTACTTCTATTTTGGCTTTAATCGGCCATTTTGGCGCCGAAGCAGATAGAGTAGAAGAGGCTACAGGGGTGCCACGCCCGTCTCCCCAGCGGACGCGCCGGGTCTTACTACCGAAGTTAAAATGCAGCTAGGTCGGGACGCGCTACCTGAAAGCAACGCTGAGGCATGGCTGTATAAAATGATATTAACTGTTCCGCAAAACCTTGCAAACTAAATATTTTAGAAAACATCACGCGCCCTTCATTTTGTACAAAACTCCAATAAATTTCATACAAAAAGGGTCTTTTCCGATTGTTTTTACGCAAAAACATGCTTTCTAAAAGCTCAAGGTGACCACAGTACAGACAAATGATAAAGAGTGGCGCTGTTGTCGGTATTAGCTCGGTCTCAGTGGACGCCAGCGGCCCAGGTTTCGACGGCGAGTTTCGCAACTGAGTGTTTTAGTAACGTTGGCTGGGGAACGTACCGCGAGAACCGCAGGGAGTCACTCCGCTATTCTCGCTTTTCCTCCGCGTGTCCCCGGCGCCGCAAATAGTGCCCGGAAGTCAGCGGCCTCGGCCTCTCTCAAGGCGCGTGGTCGCTGTCGCAGCAATTTTTTTACCGCGGAGAGCTTGAACAGTTTTGATTGTTTTTTTTTTTTTTTTTCAAACTCGGCTTGGCGTTTTCTCCCAAGTGGCGTCCGGGGCACTTGTACCCCCCTGACGCCACTTGTCTGAGTCGTGACATTAAGCAATGCAAGCGTGACGTTTTGCATTGCTTAATGTCACGTCCCGTTGCCCGTGCAGACTCAGACTGCGTTTTTTTAGTTTAAACATATGTTTCGGCATCGTCATTCGCTGAGCTGCCTCCGTAAGTTGCGGTGATTGGCTCTCCGAGTGTTGTGCGTGAAAGTAGACGCACGGGCTTTTTTTAGAGTGTAGGTGGAGTCCGGAGATGATTTGATATCGCTCCCATCGGGCAATCCACCTCCTCTAGTCGTTTGCTTCCCTAAAGTCGAGCTTCTCAGAAAGTTCCGCCGGAAGGGATATAAGTACGGAGTCCCTCCCACTGTTGCCGGGCAATTCACCAATTAAGATGTTCCAGGCTGGTTCGCATTTATTAGAAACCTGCAGCAGAGGAATCTTCGAGATCTCATGGGTGATCACTTCAGAGCTGTCACCATGTGGCGAACCGCAAGCGTACCTTATAAGTTATAAACAAGACGAGACGAGCACAGAAACGAACGACTGCTTTCAACGTAAAACGTTCTTTGGATAGGTGTTTGGCATTTCATGAAGCCAATATAAAAGCGTGGCCTTGAGGCTCGACACTGATTGGTCGACGGGTCGGAGAGGAGGAGCTCGGTGCTCGACGCTGATTGGTTAATGGGGTTATGTCATGTGACCAGAGGGATAGGCGAGGACGTGTTAGGTAGACGAAGAGGAGCTCGACCACCTGTGCGCACTGAGGGAGATGAGCTCGAGAGAATGGAAGGCTCTGGAAGATCGCCACGTTTATCAGACCGATTAGCGGTAATATCGCTTCCTTCTAGGAACAACTATCAAGTGTACACATGGTACGCGTTAAACTGTCTGATGAAGAGAGCCGTGAACGTAGGAATCTGGCGTCTGGAACCTCAGAGTATCGCTGAACGTTTGTGATGCTAGTACACTTCACGTATGCAACACAATTGCCTTGCAATTTGCCTTTTGTTTTATCGTGGCGTCCTTGTTCACTCCTCGTGTGCTCGTTACCCGCTTCATCATCTTCTTCTATTCTGGTCGCTGGACACGACAGTGGTCAGGGCCCTACATTTTGAATTCAGTCAGCAGTTGACAACTCGGTCGATCTCAAAACGTTCCCAGTCGAGGCGCAGGTGCCCCAAATGTGGAGTGATTAACTAATGCCTGAAAACAGCCGAACCATGCTCAATTTCAAACACGTTTTTGTTTTGTTCTTTTTTTTTTCAAAGCTGGCTCATTTGAGAGGATTTTTTGTAGCAGAAGCTTGCAGTCGACGGCACTAAAATTTGTATTTCGTCACCAGTGGAGAACTCCGACGTTCACAAATAGTTTCCAGACGAGGCGCGTGTGCCCGAATTTAAAATATGAACTAATCCTCGAAAGCATCCAAAACATGCCCAATCTGAAACAATTTTTCTCAAGGATACCTCTTTTTAGAGGATTTGCCATAGCAGCAATATGTAGTCCAGGGTCCTGCGTTCTGTAATTCGCAACCAGTTCAGAACTCAGTCGGTTTCAAGAAGTTCCTGGATGAGGCGCGGATGGCCAAATTTCAAAAGATGAACGAATGCGTAAAAACCACATAACCATTAGTATTTCGAGGCAATTTTTCTCAGAAAGGACTCCTTTTGAGGTATTTGTCATAGTACCAGGATGCCAGAGGGCTTTAATCTTATTTTCCGCCCTTAGTTGGGGACTGGGTGCTCAGAAAGTTCCTTGGTAAGGCACGGGTGCCGAAATTTGAAAATACGAACGAATGCATAAGAACGGCCGACCAATGCCCACATTGGGACGATGTTTCTCGGAAAGTAGTTGTTCCTCGAGTATTTGTCATGATATTGGCTTAAAATAGGAACCCTTATATTTTATATTCTGTCTTTAGTTTGGCACTGGGTTGTTCTCAAAAACATCTTCCCCCGCAATCGCGTGTAGTGAAATTTCAAATGACAATCGAATATGTCAAAATGGTTCAAGCGTCTTCACATTGCAATTGTAAAAGAAATTAATCAAGAGCCTCAATTTTATTAATTCCGCATCCACGCGCTAAAAACGAGAGGTGATTTTAAAAGGAAGAAACTCTCACACGACGCTCGCGTATTCATTTGGTTTCCATGAATACTTTATATTTATTTGGCGGAAGTTGCGATTTGTTGGTATAGTTCTTAAAATACATAAAATAGTTTTTTTTTTTTTTTTCTTCAAACAGCTATAGGTTTTAAATGCGCTTGTTCACGCCGTAAAGTGTTTTGCTTTTTCATATTTATTCCGGTGAATAATTTTACTCTTACCTATTTCGTAATAGAAAACAAACTTTCGAGGACGCTTAAGCACTTCTTATGAGCCGTGAATGCGAAAGCATTCTGGGCACCGAGAGGAGCAGAAGCGGCCGCAGCGCCGGCAGGGAGCGCGGCGGTGCGCGTCTTCCCTTTTCACCCGCCACTCCGGCGGTGACATCACGCTCCCCGACTGCGCAGGCGCGGCGAACCCCGCCGGTTCCAAGGCTTCCGTAACGATGCATCTGCGTTGCTGTGCTTTGGGCCAATGGGATTTCAGGTGCCGTTTCGCTACTACTGAGGGTTACAGACAACGCCGGCTTCGCTCCATGGGACAGTTCATGCTTTTACATTAGAAACCAAACTGAGTCATTCAAATGCTTTAAAACAGTTTATTAATCATCGTACAGAAGTCCCCGCACCATATCCTAACAATGCAAGCATAAGCTTAAAGTGAATAAACAAAATCACGCTAGCATTTCCTGTTAATCAATCATTCATAACTAGTGGTTGTCGTGGCTCACTTCTTGAGGGCCAGAGTAATGCCATCCCCGACGGTCAACATGCTGATGTCCACGCGGGTGTCCTTCCCAAGCTTCTCGTTTATCTTTCGAAGGGCAACGGTGTCGAGGCTGTTGTCTCCGGCGTCGTAAACCCTGCCCTGCCACAGAACCTGGTCAAACCACAGTCGAGAATTAAAACGCGTTCATATGATCCCGGGTCCTAAACTATTTTGTGGCTGCTCACACTGGCGGCATACGCTCAGCATTCCGTTCAGGCGTACGACTTTGCGCGTCGTTATCCTTTCCGAATAAAAAATGGCGTTCACGGAAATTCCGTCTTTCTGCGTTCATTCGGCTCCTGAGTCCCCCTAAGGGAACAGTCCCGTATTTGTACCCTGCTGTGTCAGTAATTGTACAACGTGCTGCTATGCAGCACATGCAGGACGATGGTATTTAAGGTAGGATACTAAATACCTACTTCACAAAGTATTGAGAATAGTATTCGAATTACTTGCATTCGGGAGTTCATTGGGCACCAAAATGAATTAGCCAATGGAGCAATAAGCATATATAGAGTACTATATGCCACGCATCTGCGGCGACCTTCATATGTCGCCCTGAGTGTATAGTGGTTTTCATTTATTTCAGTTTTTTTTCAGTTCAAAGACGACTTTGAAAATGCATTACGTGAACGAGGATCTGGCCAAAGTAAAATAAGAACAAAAATATATTAAAGTTACATAGAATAGAAACAGAACCACATTTATCAAGAAAGAGCAGATGTGACAGTATTGTCAACACTAAAAATGCGCACGTTACAATCATTGTCGCGAGCTTCATCATACAAGTCTTCATTTTGTTTTTCTAACAGCTCTGCGGTTTGTTGAGTGGTCAAAGAGTCTGAGAGGGCATTCCAGTCGCAGATGCACAAAGCAAACGGAGAAAATGAAAATGATACGGGAAATGGAAGGTTGTGATTTCAGTGTGTTATCAATTCTGGGTGAAATGTCGGTTGCAAGTCTTCAGAATGAATGTTTGAATGTTAAATCAATGTATAATAGATGTGACGAAATAAACACAAGCGATAAACTTTCCGTCGTATCTGTAAAGAGCGAAAAGCTAGATTTCGTTTTAAATTCGTGACACTAAATCGCTATGAGTAGTATACCACAGATGAAGCGGGCGGCTTTATTTTGTAATGCTTCAACAATTGGGCTAATTGTTGTGGATATGCCAGTTCTTATTTTTGTATGATTCCATTTTGGGAGGATCATAACTTTATAGGCAAGTAGATGCGTAACTTGGGGTGCCTGACGCAATGAACACCTAAAAAAAATATATTTTTTTTAGATGCAAAGTCAAACTGGAAAACTAGCGCTTATACTTCGTGCACCTGACTTTATTTTATTTTATTATTTTTTTTTTTTTTGGGGGGGGGGGGGGGGTGAACGTATTTTAATTGCGGGATTTTAACGGGAAAGGCTTTCTAAAGCGCTGAAGCATGGCTGTTAAAAGATGAAAAATAGTATGATCATACTTGACAAACGTTTCACATTGGGTCCGTAAATCTCGGTGTAAACGTTTGTACGCCTAGACGCATGCAGCAACTTCCAACAAGTACGCCATCGGTTCTCTCTACGGTTACGTGATCGCTTATGGCAGCCAATAGAGTGAGACGCCGTCCACAAAAGAGCCCTGCTGCGGCGTTGACACCTGCAATGACCCCAAAAGCTACATTTTGAGGACATAGACCGCAAAATGTAGGGAACGTAAGGAGCTTCTTAGTCACTGAAAGTACTCCCCTGTATTTTATGCAACCCTCACCCCCTCCCCCTACTCCCTCCCTTTTGGTCATGGCAGAATGCTGAAATTTCAACAAAAACGTGACCATCAAAACACATCTTTGAGGAAAATTTGGTAGCGAAATTTTACGGTAATTGCCTTTCAATCTACTCAATTTTTCGTCAAGTCTCATCAGAATTTTTTCCTAGATCTGATAGTGCATGTTTACTCCAAGGCTGATGTTTTTAGTCACAAAATAATTATAACGCACATAAACATTGGCAGTCATATTTGCGTCTTGATCACGAGGTCGAATTTATAGAGCTTTCATTACGCTAATTTCGCGTCGCTATTATACGCACGTCATTTCCTTCTTGATTCGTCGCTCTTCCTTTGCAGCTGTGCAGTGCCTCTTTCCGGCGAAACCCGGTGGCGTCCGTATGCCAAAACTCACGTGATCGCGGGGTCCCATCGCCACCGCGCTAACGCTTTCTTACCATCGCCGTCACCCCTTGCACAATCACGTCATCTATGGCTGGACGCGTTATCGCTCCCTCCCCCCCTCGGCGCCGCCCATACATCCAGATACAGTAGCAGCTCCACAGCCGCAGCCGCCGTCGCCGCCCCTTCAGGGCGCCATCCGACCTTCAGTTTTTGTTTCCTCTTATTCCGTTCGCTTCACTTCATATTTTCCACAGCAGGACAGGTTATTGCCACTTTAGATGTTACTGCCTCCTTCTCCCCAGCATAGGCCCTTGTGGAGGCTCGTGAACGCCAGCTTCAGTGACTCGGCATCTCGATAAGACAAGATAAGGTCGGCAATGGCGGCTCAACCTAGGCTCCCTACGGGAGCCAGAGTTGCGCGTCTGTTTTCCACGTGCCGCCGGGCCGCTATTCGCTGAGATCCGATCACGTGAGGAGCCGGATCAAATGCCGTGCAGGAAGTAGACGTTGCACGCGCCCCGGCGTACGTTCCCCTGCTTTTGAATGCGCCGCGCGCCTCGAACGCGCGGCGCCACTATTCGCCAAATTCAGTCACGTGAGGAGCAGACTCTGAATGCCGTGCAGGAAAGCCGGCGCTATGAGGATGAACGCGACACTCTGGCTCCACTCTACTGGAAGTATACTCCGGTGCGTCTAGAAAAACGGTTTGGTCCCGGGCGGCGCTCGCACAGTTTCTCCCACCCAGACATGGCCAGACCACGCAAGATACGCTCTCCATCCGAGGAGCGGGAATGGCAAGCGCACTGCGACGAGCAGAGTAGACGGAGGGCTGCTTCGGTACAGCAGAGGGCGCGAGAACCCGGCTATCACACACGAGAGGCAGCGCGTAAGCGACAAAGGCATCAAGATCCCTATGTTTGCGAGGAAGAGGCACGTCTCGTGAAATCACATATAAAAGCATTCCGCAAAAGCCAACATCTCCTAAAGCACACCTCCTACAACTATTCTACTAAAAGCAAAGCTCCTAAAGCAAATATCATATAAAGCACATATGTAACCAGAATCATCTCATATTGGGGCCACATTATGATTTCGCTTCTTTTTTGATGGTACATAGTTCCAAAAGTTGTTTTGGCTTCGTGTGCATATCGGTCTCAAGTACAGCCATATGCATACTTTCGTCTTGTTTAAAGAGCCGTTTTGCCAAATCAAGACACTCACTAAATTTGGCGTACCACTTACGCAGCCCAGATTTTTTTTAAAAGACGATGACAGTGAAGCTTACGTCATAAGCAACGCATGAGCTCCCTTGAAAACCATGACGGGTACTTGTTTGCCCAGGAGAACGCTTAGGCACGTATTTACCCGTGGCACTCGAAACTGCTGTTTTAAGAGCCTGAACAGCCGAATCCGCGCAATTATCATACAAGATCGGTTGCCAGTCATAGCACTGCAGGTGCTTGTACATATTAGAGTTGTCTCCCTTACTGTACAGAAAATATTCCTGGCTGTAAGAGCCTCGTTGACGCAGCGGAAAGAGAAAAGACACGACAAAAGACGGATGGAAATGATCAACACGTGTTAAGGGGTTCACAATTGGCAAGATACAAACAATTGGCGAGGAAATTAAAACAAGGTCAAGAATATTTCCCGCTGAATTCTGGATAACATTGCTTTGTACAAATCCATTAAAATAAATAAAATTAAACAGGCTCGATACTTTCAGGCTGGTATACCTTGCTCGCCCACGAGTCATAACCTGCCAGCGAGTCAATTTCTGGTAGATTAAAATCCCCATATATCTGAACACGGAACTTCGTCACATCAAGCAGTTGTTCTACGTTTTGAAAATGACGTGCAAAAACCTCTGAGTCAGAGTGTGGTGGAAAGTAATAGTTCCATATTAGATAATTCGGCCCGTCACAGGACGTAACCGCAACCCGTACACATTCCGGGTAAGTCTCCAGGTCATATCTTCTACATGCACACAGTGACGCGTCCACGGCGGTTAAAACACCTCCTCCAAATCTCTCTCCCGTAATTGTATAATCAGAGTCTTTAAGAAATACTGTATATGACGGAAGAAAATACTGAGAGCTAGTGATACTGTCTTTTAGCCACGTTTCAGTAAGACAAATGGTGTATGGTTTGCCTACAATTTCCGACATAAACTCGGAGGACTTCGTTCTAAGGCCGCGAACGTTCTGGTGGTAGAGCGTGCATTCTATAGTAGAAGGTTAAAAGGTTAAGCATTTACATTGACCACTGTAACCGACGTGACTCTAAGAATGACAAGAAAAGGGCGAAAAAGGCATCCGATTTGTCAAATGTCAGGTACACTGATATCGTCAAAGTCGTCGTTCTCGACAGCCACGTGAAAGGAGGCATAGCTATCGTGTTTTGTTACAAGCTTGGTGCACGTCCCTGACTTGACTCTACTTATGGTCGCTTTCCGCTTGACCTTCACTGTGTTTTACTACATTTACTGCGTTACGCTAAGGCGTATACAACATACTGATGGCTTGACTAGGGTGAGTCCAAGGATGATCAAAACACTTACGTTGTCAAAAGCAATCAAGCCATTCTGCCTAACAAGCTGTAGGCAGCGCTCGTAGTAGTCGTCGTAGCCTTCTTTGTTCGCGTCGATGA